CAGAGGTACCAGCTGTGGCCCTCAATGTGTGGGCAGAGGAGGATACACAGGGAAGCCAGCCTGTTCTGATTGATGCCCGCCGTGTCACAGGCCCCCTCGGAAGGCACCGAGCACTTTATGAGAGTGGAGAGAGATCCCAGGCTCGTGGAGTGGATGACAAAATGCAATATTGCAAAATCAAAGAAGTCTCCCCAGATTGACCTGATTTTTCAGTGTGATTCTAGTCAGAATCTCAGCAGGAGCTTTCAAGGAATTTTATATTTCAGTTCAGTTCAGTTCAGTCGCTCATTCATATCCGACTCTGTGACCCCGTGAATCACAGCATGCCAGGCCTCCCTGTCCATCACCAACTCCCTGAGTTTACCCAAACTCATGTCCATTGAGTCAGTGACGCCATCCAACCACCTCATCCTCTGTCAGCCCCTTTTCCTCCCACCTTCCAGCATCAGGGTCTTTTCAAATGAGTCAGTTCTTCCCATCAGGTGGCCAAAGTATTGGAGTTTCAGCTTCAGCATCAGTCCTTCCAATGAACATTCAGGACTGATTTCCTTTAGGATGGACTAGTTGGATCTCCTTGCAGTCCAAGGGATGCTCCAACACCACAGTTCAAAAGCATCAATTCTTTGGCCCTCAGCTTTCTATATAGTCCAACTCTCACATCCATACATGACATTGGAAAAAGCATAGCTTTGACTAGACAAACCTTTTAAGCTGAATCTAAAATGTATGTGGAAAAAAAAGAACAGCTAAGACATGTGGAGAAGACCTACGCATCTAAACATACCAGCAACATAGCTGGAATTTTGCACTCCAAAGTAGTAATAACTGGATGGTGATGAGTTGGGACAGGAAAGGTCAACGGGCAGACAGGAGGAAACGGCCAGGAAGCAGAGCCAGGAGTTCAGGGACGCCTCGCGGAGCGGACGGGCGGCGCCGAGCTGACGGGAGGAGAAGAACAGTCTCATGCGGTAGTCCTGAATGACTGGTTCTGCTCATCAGGATACAGTTAAATCAGCTCTCAGCCATCAGAGAGAACCATTCTTCTACTCAAGTTCCTAATTTGAAATGAACAGCTTACCAGTAATATTTTATTTATGGAAATGTATAAAGTCACTGGAAGAATGATAAATACAAAATTCCAGGGAGATAGAGGGCAGGGAAGATATGACCAGGGTGGATCCCCAGGAACTTCACCTGAACTCCTGGTCTGGAAGCAAGGCCACGGGCACCTTGCTGTTCATTATATCGCTCTTAATGTCTTAGATATTTTAGACAAATTTTCTTGAACACGTAAAATATTTCAAAACAACAGTTTTAAAGGAAAGTTGCCAACCCACTCTCCGCCACTGATAGTGTTCTGGGTCTGCTTCCATTTCCTCCAGTAGAAACAGAGAAAGTAAGGAATCTTAAGGGAAATCAGCTCTGAATACTTATTGGAGGGACAGATGCTGAAGCTGAAACTCCAGTGTTCTGATTATCTGATGTGAACAGCCGACTCATTGGAAAAGTCCCTGACGCTGGGAAAGATTGAGGGCAGAAGGAGAAGGGGGCATCAGAGGATGAGATGGTTGGATGGCATCACCGATGCAGTGGACATGGACTTCAAACTCTGGGAGATGGTGAGGGACAGGGAGGCCGGGTGTGCTGCAGTCCATGGGGTCGCAAAGAGTCGGACGCGACTGGGCCACTGAATAGCAAGAACAAAGAAACAAAACTCTTGGAGAAAGCCTTTGATGGTTTGGAGATTTCTGTGCTGCCAAGCCTTCAGAGGGAACTCGTGTGCAAACAGAAGAATGAATTACTTAGCATTATCGTCTATACAGCTGTTGTCTTATTTCTGAAATAAACTGATTCAAAAATGATTTTGAATATTACCTGTGTAAGGCAAGCCAACCTCTTTCATCAGCCGTACGTCTGGCCAGAGTTTTGTAGACATTGGTTCTGCCAGCTCTGTTTTTCTAGAAGTTGAACTTTTCCATCTGGGAGAGATAAAGGCAAGCAGAGCCTGGCCCAGGTGGCATGTGCAGGTTTCACTGATGAACGCTGCTGGAGATGGGGCTGGAGGGGACAGAAAGCTCCTTTGGGGACCTCACGGTTCTAGCCAGTCGGCTAGTGGCTGTCACTTGATTATCACAGACAGCAAGTGGGAAATGAGCTAATTTACTGATGCACAAAGAGGGGGCTTCTCTGGTCCAGACGTTAAGAATCTATCTTCCAGTGCAGAGGACATGTGTCCCATCCCTGGCAGGGGAACTAAGACCCCACGTGCCACCATGGGGGCAACTAACATGCTGCATCTACTGAGACTGCCTGCTGCAAAGAAGACCCAAGGCAGCCCTAAATAAATAAATAAATGCATTTTAATAGAGGAAGGTGAATGGGCATGACTTTGATGGTTCACAAGGATGTCTCAGGTTATTTTTTTGTTTTGTTTTTTGTTTAATTAATTTACTTTTTAAATAGAAGAGTAGATGATTCACAGTGTTGTTAGTTTCAAGTTATGTGGTAAAGTGACTCAGTTAGGTTTATATGTTCTTTTTTAGAAAGATGTTTCATGATTGACATAAATGGGCCACAGAGCCCTTTGAAATTACAAACTGACAACAATGACGTTTGAACACTAAACCCAGAAACCCTGGTTTGAAAACAGACGAGAGGCAGGGCTCACTAACACAAATAATTTGAGTCACTTTTTTACAGGTGTAAATTGGTTTTAATTCAAGGATGAGGGCAAGATATTAGCGGAGGAGTATAATGTTGTATAGAAGATATTTCAGTACAATCAATACAAATGCTAACATCCCAGTTTGAGAGGATTTAATTAAACTCAACCCCTTGACTCCATCTGCAGGCACGCAAGCAGGGTGAGTATTTCCAACTGCTATGACAAACCTAGACAATGTTTTAAAAAGCAGAAACATCACTTTACCAACAAAGGTCCATATAATCAAAGCTATAGTTTTTCCAGAAGTCATGTACGAATATGAGAGTTGGACCACAAAGAAAGCTGAGTGCCCAAGAATTGATGGTTTTGAACTGTGGTGTTGGAGAAGACTCTTGAGATCCCTTAGACTGCAAGGAGATCAAACCTGTCAATCCTAAAGGAAATCAGTCCTGAATATTCATTGGAAGGACTGATGCTGAAGCTGAAGCTCCAATCCTTTGGCCACCTGATTAGAAGAGCTCTCTCATTGGAAAAGACCTTGATGCCAGGAAAGATCGAGGGCAGGAGGAGAAGGGGGCAGCAGAGGATGAGATGGTTGGATGGCATCACCAGCCTAATAGACATGAGTCTGAGCAAACTCTGTAAAATCGTGGGAGACCAGAAAGCCTGGCTTGCTGCAGTTCATGGTGTCACCAAGAGTCAGACAGGACTTTGCAACTGAACAGCAGCAAAGCTTTACCAGGAAGCCGCTGAGCTGGGACTTGGTGAGGCAGTGGGGTCCCTGGATCCCTAGGTCAGCATCGTTCTGCCAGGGAGTCCGCTGCACCTTACAAGGACTCCAGGGCCATCTCCAAAGCGACACGCCTTAGTGCCTTTCTACAACAGCTTGCAAAGGAAGAATTGCCTCAAGTAAGTGAGTGGGGGTGGATGAAGACAAGACCAAGGGCCCAGAAGCTTGGTTTGTAGAGCGGGAACTTGGAGGCCAGCATACAGGGCTGTGTGAGGCAGGCCAGGCAGCTGGCTGCAGCCGGTTGTCTGCGGGCAGGAGCATCTGTGGGCAGAGACCAGAGCTGGCCGTGACCTTTCTCCGCAGCAGCCTCCCCGGCCCCTCCCTCTCCCCGCTGGAGACCCCGCGAGATGCATTTGTGCTGATGCTAGTTGGCAAACGAGGTGAATTCATTTTCTCCCCACTCCAACATGGGAAACATTGTTTGACATTGTAGAAAACACACAATCTCCTGCTGATTTATTGGTGTCTCCTTCTGGGGCTGGCCAGCATGGAGGAAGCAGGCATGTACCATCCAGATGACAAACAGATCACTAAGACGTGGTAACACTGGCATTTCCTGCCTCCCGGAGCATCGGGCAGAGTTTCTGAAATAAATTCTGCCTGGAGATCCGGCTCGCTCTTTGTATTTATGGAGCACTTTGGCTCCCAAAGTGCATGTGAATGTGGTATCTCGTTTCATCCTCGCAGGCTAGTGCTTCCCGAGGTTTCCCTGGGGTGAGCACCAGCCAGAGAAGGACAGATGGATGGTGATGAAGCTGGCTTGTAGCCATCTAACCCTCTGTCTTTCCTCCCCCGCCCCGCCCCCCACCCGCCCGGCTTCCCTGCTCCTGGCCATAAATCAGCGGGAGGAGATTCAGAAACATCAGTCCTTAGGGGTTAGGCTTTGCTGATGTTTTCTGGAGGTTTCCATCCTCCCCACCCCAGGAGAGTCTCTCCTGCAGCCTCCACCCCTGCTTCCTCCCTGTTCGTTCTGCCTGCCCCTACCTCTGCAACGAGGAGATCTTTGAGGACTTTTCGGAGTGGCCTCGTTCAATGTGTCAGACATACCAGTGGGAGCCAAGCCCCCAGCCTCTTCCGGCCCTGGAAGAACTTCTGAGGCCCTCACTGCCTGTCAGCAACCTCCAGACTCAGCTTTGCCACACACCTGCGTGCGTACAGCCTGGCAAACCTCACTGCCTCACGGTCTGGAGAGGTGCAGGGCCACCCCTCTCCTGCACGCGGTGGGTGCTCTCCCCGCCCGCCTCCTCCCCACCTCCCACCCCCAGCATCGGACGCGTGACAGGGAGCGGCTCCCTCCTGGCGGTCGGGGCGTGCACTCTGCAGGCTCCGTGGGCGCTGCCATTCTGCTTTCTCTGTTGCCCCGTCCCTGTGGCACCCCGGGGTCACTTCTCTAGTCATTCACGGCTCTGGTCACCTCCTCTGTGGCCTGCGTGACCCCTGCCCTACCCTCCAAAGCTTCATCTTCAGGCACATGCATTGCCTCACGTTTCAACTTGCCTTCCTGCTGATTGGGGAGATTTTCTCTTCTGGCCTTGATCTGTCCAGATGGGAAATGGACCACAACCTTCACGCTCCCCAGCCCCAGCTGACAACAGCCGCTCCCCTGCCGGATCAGGGGATGGAGGCCACGACCACTGCAGTTCTCACCTTGACTTCACCACTGGGCAGACACTGCCGGTGGCCTCCCCAGCCCCCCGGGAGGGCCCTTCACCAGCTGCTGGCTGGGACAGCGGCTAATGGCCCACAGCCACCACCTCCTCAGGGGACTGCCCTGGGGTCTGCGGCTGCCTTGCCCATGGCTTCAGCCTAGGGAAGGGGCAAAACAGATAACTGGCCAGAGGCTACCAGGGCAGAAACTTGCCCAGATCTCTACTCCTGTTTGTTCTCATGGAACTGAGTGGCTTCAGAAAAAATCAGGGTAAAGATGGAGAAAGAAAGTGAAGTGGCTCAGTCGTGTCTGTCTCTTTGTGACCCCATGGACTGTTGCTTACCAGGCTCCTCCATCCATGGGATTTCCCAGGCAGGAGCTCTGGATTGGGTTGCCATTTCCTTCTCCAGGGGATCTTCCCGATCCGGGGATCGAACCTGGGTCTCCCACATTGTAGGCACAGTCTTCACCATCTGAGCCGCCAGGGGATCTAAAGACGGAGACCTTGCCTGGTTACCTAACGTCAGCCGCCTCCGTGGAGAAAAGCAGAACAGACCAAGAGCAAGCTGATGTCACACCTGCTGAGTGACGTGGAGAGAGTTTGTTCTTTCTTATGGCAAGTGCCCGCACCTGCCCAGGCCTACGGAGAGTTTGAAGTGCATCCCGACTTCATGAATATTAACAAACTGCTCGTTAACTTTGCTGCGCCCTTCCTACAAATGGCAGGCTGCCGCAGCAGGCTCTTCTCTCTGATAGAGTTTGGTGACCAGGCCATGCTGCCTGTGAACATCTCTGAGAGATGAGGCCACGTAGGGCCTCATTCTGGAGAAGTGAGTTGTGGTGGCTGTGGGTGAAGGTTAGATCCTGGCAGAAGCTTAGAATCAGACTCGACTGCCCCTGAAGTCAGGAGTGAGCAGCACCCAGTGAGTCAAGATAAGCGAGCTTTCCTACACACCTCCAGAGACGATGAATCCCCCTGCCTCACCCCCACCCCAACACAGAGCCCTAGATGGTGGGGCAGAACCTGAGGGAAGAGCCGCAGTGTGAAGCACTCACAGCCACAGGCAAAGTGCCATCAAAGTGGTCTACACACCATCAGTCCAAGTCTAGTTCCCACCCAAAGGGCCATGTGCAAATTACACCTGCCCGGCCATCCTCCTCGGGATCTCTTGTAGATGAGAGGTGCCACATGCACAAGTACAGATGACTCAGCCCACCCACTCCTGATGGAGGGGTTTATCTGAGACCCCCACACGCTTGGTGCAGCTCCACATTCATGCAAACAAGGTGCTTCTAGAATCCGGGGATGGGCCTGGATTTGCCATTCTGTTAATAACACCCCTCTCCAACCACCCCAATCTGACACACACCTGATTTTTCATAACACATTTAGTTGAGGCCCGCCCCCAATTTTTGTCATCATCATTCACTTCATTAAAGCATCTACTGTGCATTGAGTTGTACCAAAACAGCAATGCACAAAAGAGATGCCCTTTGCCTATAGAAAGCCTCCATGGATTTATAAAAAATGGACAGGTTCCTGCAGTGTGGTGACCTGTTCTATGGTGGCAAGTTCCAGGCTGTGCTATTGAATTACTCAGGGAGATCAAGGAAGGCTTCCTGGAGGAAGTGATGGCTGAACTGAGAGCTAATGGATAGATAACAAGTTTTCCAAGCAAATGAAGGTAGTCGTGTAGGCCATCCGAGACCGAAGCTCCCACAGCAGCTGTGGGGACTGGCCGTGACGTGGGCATGAGGTGGGGCGTGGCAAGGGGTGAGGAACCTGGAACTGGTGGGCAGGTGAGGAGGTGGGCTCCTTAGTGTAGAGAACAGCCTTTGAGCCAGACAGAGCAGGGCCCACTGACTTTCCCTGATTCTCAGGCACCTGACCTGCAAAATGTGACACAATCGGAAGAGGATGTGTGTGTGTGTGTGAGATACACTCTCAGGAAAGCAGGAGCCGTGGGGCAGCCACGAGAACGTGTGAGTGTGTTACACACACGCTCACACGTGAACGTGCATACGTTGTTCTGACACGTCAGATGGCCCTCGGTAACCGTCAGGGTGATGGCATTTCCTCTCTCTGAGTCGGACACCAGCTCGCGTCCCTGCCCTTTGTCCTTGTCTCCCGGCGTGACTGATCCGAGCAGCCCTGCTCCCTCTAAAGCCCCCAGTAACTGTGAGGGCATCTACTCCATCCATCTTTCCAAAGAAAATTACCAAGTGCTTATTTACTGTGAGCCCAGACAGGCCCACAAGATACCCGCCCCAGCAGGCTCCCTGGGGACGGAGATGAGCCCTTGGCAGGGCCGCTATCCATCATCCCGGGCTCTCGGCTTCCAGACCCATCTGTGAGCAGGCAGGACGGGGCTGATGGGCGGCATCCGGCCCCTCGTTAACGACCTCGTTAGCAGCTTAATGGAGAGGTTGGAGGCTTGAATGAGAGGGGAGCCTTCCCATGCTACATTTAGCTGACCCTGGATTTATGGGCTGGGGTTGCTAACCTTCTGTAAAACAGTTATCGCTTGTATTACAGAAAACAGTCTGTTTTTAAAAGCTGCAGGAGACTCTTTGAATGCAAAACAGCTTTTGCAATTCTTCTGACTGTTTTATTTATAAGGGAGTATTTTTTTTTCCTTTGTGCTTGATGAGAGCTGCAGAAATTAGGGAAGAATGCTTCCAGAGCATCAGTGTAGCCCAGGGAACCTGAACTTCCGGCACAGACAGAGCCTCAGGCTACAGAGACTCTGCATCACGAACAGTGAAGTGCTGAGAGGGTGCTGAAGCTGGAGCTCCAGTATTTGGCCACCTGATGTGAAGAACTGACTCATTTGAAAAGACCCTGGTGTTGAGAACAATTAAAGACAGGAGGAGAAGGGGGCAACAGAGGATGACATGGTTGGATGGTATCACCGACTCAATGGACATGGTTTGAGTAAAGTCCGGGAGTTGGTGATGGACAGGGAGGCCTGGCGTGCTGCAGTCCGTGGGGTTGCAAAGAGTTGGACACCACTGAGCGAGTGAACTGAACTGAACTAGAGGCTGCTTCTGGGGTGAGGAGCCGCCCTGAGAACTAGGGTGAGCAATCAGGATTATAGCCCCCAACGGCCTGGGCGGGTGTCTCTGAGGTTCTCCATTACCTGGCTGGTCTCTGACTGGCTTTCCACTTCCATGTCCCTGGGGAGGGGTTTATACATCTTTCTTTCTTTCTTTCTTTCTTTCTTTATTTATTTTTTCATTTATTTTTATTAGTTGGAGGCTAATTACTTTACATCATTGTAGTGGTTTTTGTCATACATTGAAATGAATTAGCCATGGATTTACATGTATTCCCCATCCCGGTCCCCCCCTCCCACCTCCCTCTCCACCCAATCCCTCTGGGTCTTCCCAGTGCACCAGGCCCGAGCACTTGTCTCATGCACTCAACCTGGGCTGGTGATCTGTTTCACCCTAGATAATATACGTGTTTCGATACTGTTCTCTTGAAACATCCCACCCTTGCCTTCTCCCAGAGTCCACAAGTCTGTTCTATACATAGGAGTCTCTTTTTCTGTTTTGCACATAGGGTTATCGTTACCATCTTTCTAAATTCCATATATATGTGTTAGTATACTATAATGGTCTTTATCTTTCTGGCTTACTTCGCTCTGTATAATGGGCTCCAGTTTCATCCATCTCATTAGAACTGATTCAAATGAATTCTTTTTAATGGCTGAGTAATATTCCATGGTGTATATGTACCACAGCTTCCTCATCCATTCGTCTGCTGATGGGCATCTAGGTTGCTTCCATGTCCTGGCTATTATAAACAGTGCTGCGATGAACATTGGGGTGCACGTGTCTCTTTCAGATCTGGTTTCCTCGGTGTGTATGCCCAGAAGTGGGATTGCTGGGTCATATGGCAGTTCTATTTCCAGCTTTTTAAGAAATCTCCACACTGTTTTCCAAAGTGGCTGTACTAATTTGCATTCCCACCAACAGTGTAAGAGGGTTCCCTTTTCTCCACACCCTCTCCAGCATTTATTGCTTGTAGACTTTTGGATAGCAGCCATCCTGACTGGTGTGTAATGGTACCTCATTGTGGTTTTGATTTGCATTTCTCTGATAATGAGTGATGTTGAGCATCTTTTCATGTGTTTGTTAGCCATCTGTATGTCTTCCTTGGAGAAATGTCTGTTCAGTTCTTTGGCCCATTTTTTGATTGGGTCATTTATTTTTCTGGAGTTGAGCTGGAGGAGTTGCTTGTATATTTTTGAGATTAATCCTTTGTCTGTTGCTTCGTTTGCTATTATTTTCTCCCAATCTGAGGGCTGTCTTTTCACCTTGCTTATAGTTTCCTTTGTTGTGCAAAAGCTTTTAAGTTTAATTAGGTCCCATTTGTTTATTTTTGCTTTTATTTCTAAAATTCTGGGATGTGGGTCATAGAGGATCCTGCCGTGATTTATGTCGGAGAGTGTTTTGCCTATGTTCTCCTCTAGGAGTTTTATAGTTTCTGGTCTTACATTTAGATCTTTAATCCATTTTGAGTTTATTTTTGTGTATGGTGTTAGAAAGTGTTCTAGTTTCATTCTTTTACAGGTGGTTGACCAGTTTTCCCAGCACCACTTGTTAAAGAGGTTGTCTTTTTTCCATTGTATATCCTTGCCTCCTTTGTCGAAGATAAGGTGACCATAGGTTCGTGGATTTATCTCTGGGCTTTCTATTCTGTTCCATTGATCTATATTTCTGTCTTTGTGCCAGTACCATACTGTCTTGATGACTGTGGCTTATTAAAAATTCAAACATATGGAGGCTAAACAACACGCTTCTGAATAACCAACAAATCATAGAAGAAATCAAAAAAGAAATCAAAATATGCATAGAAATGAATGAAAATGAAAACACAACAACCCAAAACCTATGGGACACTGTAAAGGCAGTGCTAAGGGGAAGATTCATAGCATTACAGGCCTACCTCAAGAAACAAGAAAAAAGTCAAATAAATAACCTAACTCTACACCTAAAGCAACTAGAGGAGGAAGAAATGAAGAACCCCAGGGTTAGTAGAAGGAAAGAAATCTTAAAAATCAGGGCAGAAATAAATGCAAAA